CTCTTCAATACTTTAAAAAAGTTCCTGTGCAGCAGATTTGCCCAATGCAATACATCATCTGATTTCTTGACTGCTGCTTCCGCAAGTGTTGATAGTCGATCCAAGAAGAATGAAGTCCTTGACAACTTCAATCTCTTCTCCATTGATAAGAATGCTGTTTATTGGTCCATTGGTGAGGATTTTTTATAAGCCTCATTTTATGAACAAGGAAAAGTAAGTAACATGGCTAATAAATGGTGACATCTGTCCGCGGAGGTGGCACCCTCAACTACTCAAACGCTGTATTAATGCTTGTATTATTCAGATTATAGAATCCTATTTCTTCATGCTCTTGCTGGGCCTTCTTACGCATTTCCAAGGTTCTGACTAATATTTATATGCTACATATTAGCCTGTATAAATATACTGGTGACACCAAGTTTCTACTCTGCAACTTGAAACAGAGAGTCAATTATCCAAACATCATTTCAACCTAACTATTTCAAAGGCACTGCAAACTAAGTATGTCAAAAACTAAACTTGCATTGTATTTCATTATTTCTTTTTTAAGTGTATATCATTAACACCAACATAAATGTTAACTATAGGAAACTAGGAATTATACCCCTTTCTAGTCTCATTATTAAAGCTTTAACTAAGAACCACACCATTTCTTACCTATTCTCCAATCCACCTTCACAATATCACCAGAACCATTTATTTCTTTAATCATTATTGATGGAACATCCATTAAGAGCTGGCCATTAAGGATAGTATCTCTTACTAAAACTCCCAGTATTTAAAATCCTAGAGATACCTGGTGTGGTACTGTAGGATAAGCATGGGACTGTGAGCCATAATGTTGGTGGTTCAAACCCATCAGCTTCTCCTTGGAAACCCTACCAGTTGCAACATGGGAGTTTTCTGCTTCTGTAAAAATTTACAGCCTTGGAAACTCCTATTGCTTACCTGTTGCTATTAAGTAATTTCAGTGACCCTGTATAGGGTTTCTGAGAGGCTATTGAGTTTGAACTGCCAATCTTGTGGTTCAAACCAACCTTATGGTTGAGTGCTTATCCTACTGCACTACAGCAGGACTCCACAGAAACCCGACCTAGGGTTATTGTGAGTCGAAGCCGACTCAACCGTACACAATCACCACCACCACCATTCATCATGTTTCAATATGCAATATTCTAGTACTGACAGTGTTCCACTGCTATTCATAAGGTTTTCAGTGGCTAAGCATTCAGAAGTGGTCCATGTTTTCTAGTCTGCCTTGGTCTAGAAACTCAGCTGAAACGTACTG